TAATTGGTAGATGTTTATCGAAACATCGTGTCATCCATCTGTGCTATTACTTGCGCTAATATAATTGTAATAATCTATGAAACTGCGAACTGGAAGGAAACTATGTGGTTTCTTCTGTCTGATTTACGATTTGAAATCGTACTGTTATCTTTTATATTTTGTTCTTGCTCTTTGTTGGATGTCGATCAGATAACTTTCCTCTTTGTTTTTTTTTTGGTGGGAGGTTTATTATTTTTCCTTTTTTATTCGGTTTATTTTGCCACCAAATACATTCGGATTGTTTAGACAACTGACAAACTGTTATTCCGTAGTTGGGCTTTGGCCCATGAACGTAAGATTAAGTAAAATGTTAATTTTTCACATGTATAAAATCTATACATTATAATGCTGAGATATCAATTTCACAAATAAACCGAATATTTATCAACAATAAGTACATTAATATGTAGTGATATGGTCGTGTTCTTATAGTAAACTAGCTCACATGTTGATTTCTGTACGCACATCCTGATTTCCCTTTTTAGTAACTATAAAATGGTAACTACCTTAACCGGTTTTGTATATTTTCTATAATACTTTCGATTTGTCGTCGACGATATGGCAAATTATCATTTCGTTATTGGGCTCCGGCCCATGCATTTAGGGTTCTGTAAAATGTCAACTAATCACATATGTAAAAACAGATCTATATAACACCGTAAAGTTAGATTTCATCTTTCGGGATATTAGTTTATAAAATATTTAATAATCTGTAGCGATAAGGTCGTATTCCTTATTTCGTAAAAATACGAATGTTAATTCCCTTTTTTCTAGAACCCTAAAATGATAACTACCTTTAACTTATTATATAGAGATAAAATCGAATAAGTTTTAATAATATTTGTTAACATTTATTCACGGTTTGTGATATATATATGCATGTATTTCCGGGTGGAGATATCACGAAAAAAGTATATAAATACTGGCATCGTTTTCTTTTCTTTTATCATCCAAGTTATAATATATCTTCGCTCTGCTTCGAATTAGGGATTTTGTATTTTTACGGATGGAGCCGTATCCTCTTTCGAAGCTGAATCCTGATACCAGCGAGTGGCGTATTCGCGCAAAGGTTCTTGCTATTTGGCAAGAGTACTACGATCATTATTCGACGGTTGACGTCGTGTTGGTCGATGATAAGGTATAACTCATGTTCTGTGGATTATTGTTTTTAGTATAGTTTGCATGTATAAGTCGTAGTGTAATCATGTGTTGTGTATATCGTATCTCAGGGTGGGAAAATCCATGGTATCATACCTATGGAGCTTATGCCACAGTTTTCGTCGAGAATCGTTGAGAACCGATGGATAGTGATAACAGATTTTATTTTGAGACCTGTCGTGGATGCGTTGAAGCCTGTTGCTCATAGATTTGAGCTGGTATTTCATAAAAAAACATTATGCGATACTCTGCAGGAGAGATCGGGTGATGGTTTCTATGATTTCGTGGATTTTGGGAGAATCCTAAATGTGGTGCATGATACGTCCATTTGTGTTGGTATGGTTTTTATCAGTTGATTCTTTTTTTTTTTATAAATTAGTGTTACGCTTTTGTATTTCGACCGACGCTTTAATTCATGCAGATATCATCGGAAAGGCCATTAACGTTAGTAAAATAACCTCTTTTGGTTGTCACGTGTATGAGGATCAGGTGGAACATATAGTCTTTGATCTCCAAGATACAAGGTACATTATGCCACTTTGATACACAGAAGAAGTTGATCATTTATCGATCTGATTTATTTAAACTATATAACGCAGTGAAAGAGTTTTGAGATGTGTTTTAAGCATTACGGATGCTTTACCTCTTTATCGTTTGTGGATGACTGATCCGTCCGATGTTATCATATGTGTACTGCGATTTGTCCGTGTCGAGTTTAGGGAAGGTACGTAGCATAGAAGAAATAATTTATAAACATTGATTAATCATGGTTAACGTGTGGTTTCAATTTAATATGTAGGCATGTGGATATGCTCAGGGGTGCGCTGTTCGAAACTGTTGTTGAATCCTTCGATACCGGGTGTAAAAAAAATGAAATCAGTGTAAGTTATATATTTGTTTGAGGTTTACTCATTTGCTTAAGATGCTGATGGGCATCGCTTTTTTCCTGCTGATACATGTTTTATTCGATTGTTTGTTTGCTTTTTGTAGCTTCTTGATCAAGCACGGTCCTGTTGCGAAGAAACAGAAGATTAAAGACTGAACGTGACAATAGATCTATATTTTAGTTTATCTCCTTATAGATGTTTTTACGTTATGTTATCGTCTCGGTCTATCGGTCATACAAATTATTTTATTTTGGATATTTATCTTTAGCGTAATTAAAATAAAACAGATTTAATTTATATATTGGATTACTCACGAACGAAAACTACATCGTATTAAAAAAAAAAATGTATAGTGTCGCTAAAATTATACTGTGTCTGTTGTTTATTCTTGGGATATTGAGATTAGAATTGCTTTTGCAATGAACAATCTTAATGAGGTATATATATATATATAATCATTAAATTAATAACGATATGTGTTGTAAGCAATATTTATTTAGTTAAATTTATACCTAAATAGAAAATCCCCGGAAACCTTATCGAGTTATTTATAAAATTCATATATAAGTATATATTCGAGTTATTCGTGGATTAGGTATTTTTGGTTTCATTCATAGCATATAAATATATAGTCCCTTACGCGTCTATTCGTGTTATAATCGTCGTCATGTTTACCTCCAAAACATATGATAGTGTTTGGCGATTGAATCCTTCCAAGTACGAGTGGGTTGTCGAAACCAAGGTTCTTTGTTCGTGGACACGGCGTCTAGAAAACAGTGGCAGGCGTTTAGAGTTTGTTCTCGCGGATCGTGAGGTTTGTTTATATTATACTGTTTTGTTTTTTTATAAGATAATGCTCTTGGATCTTATTTTTATGGATTTGTTCGTTGTAGGGTAACAAGATACAGTGTTCTCTATGGGGAGAGGTTTACGATAAATTTGTGTCTGTAATAGTTAGCGGTAGTTGGTTTCGGATTAAGGACTTTAAAGTTGTTCATCAGACTGGGGATTGCAGAGCAACCTTGCACCGCTATAAGATGATTCTTTTGAAAAACACTACGATTGTCAAGATACCTGGTATCGATAACAATCAGTTTTTTGATTTTGTTGATTTTGGAAGTATCTTGGACCGAAGATATTCTGACGACTTTTTGGTTAGTAAGATTTGTGGTTCTAATTGTATCTAAACATGTTATCTGTTATATTCACTGTTTTATTGACGTTTCATATTTCCGTTGTGCAAGACTTGATTGGAGAGGTTGTTGATGTCCAAACTTCTAATATCGAAGCTGAAACCAATGGAACGAAATTACATGAGGGTTCCGTTGTTTTTAATGATAAGGGCGTCCCTTTATCTGATGAAGTTATACCAGACTATGATTATTTACTAGATAGGTCGAAGAGATACAACGAGGGTAGATTAGTCGTAGAAAACAAGGAACCTACTCGCTCCTTGAAGCGTAGTAACGAGGATGTGTATGGATTTTCATCCACAAAACGTTTTCGTCCTCTTACTGGTGGTTATAAAGAATTACTTGAAGAAGTAGGAGGAATAAACGATCAAGGCCATGGAAGACTAGGATCCGAATTTGGTGAAGATGACGAAGAGGACGATGATGAAGAAGAAGAAGAAGAAGACACCGAAGGAGACGAAGAAGTTGAAGAAGATGTAGATGCCGATGAAGGAGAAGGAGAATACGAAGAGGAAGAGACGTATGGGGAATTTGATTATGATGGGGATGATAGCATATATCGCACAGTTTCTTTCTATCTACGTGACAGACGGTACATTCATTATGTTTATAATAGTTAGGGGATAAATACTAATTAATATCCTTACACATGTACTGTTTTACGTGTGAAGGAATGCTATGTTGAGATGTCGCCTGTTTGGTAAAGTCGCTTTGACTTTCTACGATACATTTAAAGAGCAAGCTGATGGTGCTGTTATTTGTGTTATAAGATGGGGACTTATTCGTTGTTATGGAGGTTTGTTTTGCCTGCTTAGTATATAAGATGGTCGGGTTTTTTATAGATGTATGCATGTTAAATAGTTAGTTTGATCGAGTGCAGGTGATGTGGCCAAACATGCTACAGATTGTACGCGTATTGAGATTAATCCAGATATCCGTGGAGTGGAATGCTTTGATGAATTGTAAGTTTAGTTTTCCGTATAATTAGATTTATGATGTTGGGTGTCTGGACTATAATATTATTAATTCCTACGCTTCGGTGTTATTGTGAAGGGTCAAGAAAAACATGTAGTTGGGTATCTTGAAGAAGAAGGAAGGATTTATAGTCTCCGGTGGTGGATGTTAAAGTTATTATGTTTCAATTTCCGTTACGTCTTAACAGAGTTGTTTCAGCGATACCTCTATTATGCGGATCACAATTATCCCTTAGTTTTGTTTATTTTTTATTCTATAGTTACGTTCTTATTATGGATCATATATTTACGGTACGTTCGTCAGCGAGAACATTTAAATTTACATCGAATTTGTTATTTCGTTGGGGCTTAAAATAATATTTTATATATATGTTAAATTGATCATTTCGTTGAGGCTGCGAACAATATTGAAGGATTCTTTTCTTTAGTCATAGGCTTCAAAGTGTATGCGTTATATAAAACTGGAAAGTGAAGGAGGACTTACACCTTCGTTAGTTTAAATTAATAACATAATACATAAATATTTTTGTAATTGGATTCCATTGAAAGTTTACTCTTATCGACTTTGTTTACAGAAAATAAAAATATGGATTTGTCACAAAAATGTAAACATGCTTAATCTATGATTTAGCGAGACGATAAAAGTAAATATTGCGGTTTTTATCTACGCATTCGATTCGAAAATATCTATAATAACTATTTTGTAAAGCTATAATATTTCCAGAAAATTTTATATGCTAATATCGAAGATTTACATTTATCTCTTAATTCGATTTTGTTAATATCCATAATTATTAAATTTTATTCTATATTAGTCGAAAAGGTCGGTTAAACCCTAAACATTTTATGGCTATATATAGGATCTACTACTCGCTTTCAACATTAACGAAATCTATTAAGATATTATACTTTTGTGCGTTAAAAAATGTCGTCAAGCAGAAAAAGCAAAAATTCACTAACTTTCATCGATGATATCAATCCTATTCACGATCAGAATAAGATTAAGGTGTTAATCTTGAGGCTGTGGAAGGCGTATCAGAGAGATGCGGGCAATACAATCGAGATGGTTTTGGTGGATGAAAAGGTTATGATTTGATTATTTTTTGAGATTATGTCTTCTATATCATGTGTTTGCTTTGTTTTTGTATCGTATAAGTATGCTAAGCATATTCTCTTTTTGGTTTTAAGTAGGGTTCAAGAATCCATGCAACTGTTGAAGAAAAAAATATCAAAAAGTTCGACAGTGTCCTGAAAGAAGGTGATGTCGTTACCTTGAATCCTTTCAAGCTCATCAAGTACTCTGGCGATTATAAGAGCAACAGTCTTTCTTTCAAGATTTTGTTTTACCGAACAACCCAGGTCAAACCATGTGATGATTTTCCAAAGGAAGTCCCTGAGAAGTATTTTGTGGAATTTGGTGATGTTTCAAATGGTTCACGAGACACGCGTGTTTTCGTTGGTAGGTCTGGTTTAAACAAAATATCTTAATTAGTTTGATATTTGTTTATCTTTATCGCTGTCAAACTAAATAACGATACGTATTATTGTAGATGTTATTGGTCAGATTGTCAACGTTGGACCGATAGAGGATATAAAAATCAGAGGAAAGAGTACTCCAAAGCTCGACGTCGAGTTGCGTGATCGTGGGTATGTTAATTATGCTTAGTCATTATAAGAGTTTGGTTTTCTGTATGCTTCGTTTTTTTGACGTGTTTATCACGTAAATAGGAACGTACGGTTAATATGTACTCTATGGGCGGATTTTGCTAAGCAAGTTAAGGTTTATACTGAAGCAAATCCAGCGGCTGTTGTTTGTGTGATTAGGTGTGCTCAGGTTAAGGAGTGGAAAGGTATATATGTTGGTCGAATAAACTTCAAATATTCCGATGACTGTTCTAATTTTAATTGTTAACTTATTTAGGTAATTGGACTATATCTAATGCTATGGGCGCAACACGTGTATTACTCGATCCTCCAGGCGTTTTTGTTGATGAGTTCAGATCAGGGTAATAGACATAATATTGTTTATTTATTATGTTTTGAGTTATTGTATATGTCTGTATAGATATTAATATAGAATTTTTTTTGTAGGCTACCAACCGATGGCGTGGTCTTGACTAATCATGATAATAGTGAATTGTTTGCTGGATCAACTGTATCGATACGTGATCAATTCTTGGTGAAGAATCATAAACGAACTGTCCGAGATATAGTCGAGGCGTTAGAGGTAGACACCATAAATTTATGCGTTATTCTTTATATTCATGCGTTTTAAAAGGTAAAAAAAAAGTTTGTTTGTTAATTAGAACTGGTTGGTATTTTAAGTCTGACCTCTAAAATCTATAGGAGGGTATGTGTGTGGCCATGGTCATTGTTGGATCCGTCGAGCGAACATCGAAATGGTATTACGTTTCGTGTAAGATGTGTAATAAGAGTGTCGAGCCTTATCCAGAAAATTCTGGTGATGATGGAAAACCACCTCTTTACTATTGCGGCGTTTGTGACAAGGATGTATCTGCGGTAGTGTTCAGGTGATCGTGTCTTTTGAATGCATTGTTTATGCCATCTTGTGCATGTTAATACCGTCATACTATGTTGGTGTGTGTAGTTTTAGAGCTCGGTTGTTCATTATTTGTTCTGGAATAACTGTTTGTTTTAGGTACCGATTGGTTCTGGAGGTTTCTGATGCAACTAACTACAAAGCAAGGTTTTTGTTGTTTGATGCAATGGGTAGTACCCTCCTTCGTAGAACTGCACAGGAGCTCTACAATGCAGTTTCTGAGGTAATGGATTCGCTTTTGCTATTGTTTGTTATGTTGTTTTTTTATATTTTTAACGATTATTTGTTCGTATGTTTAATCTATTTGCATGGTTTAATGATAGAATGACCCCTCTATACTTCCCTCGGAGATTGGGGCATTGGTCGGGAGGCGGTTTCTTTTTAAAGTGAGTATAGGTGGCGATAATCTGAAATCGGATCCGTTGCATTACGTGGTACAGTTATTTTCTGATGATGATGAGCTGATTAAAGACTATTCTGATGGTCTAGACTCTGAGGTTCGTGTTTTGTAGCTTGGGTTGTTCTGTTTATATGAAACTGTATATATGTGTTAAGTTTACTAAATATTCGGTGTTTTGCTTTATATATACTTAATATTGGTGTTTCTAAGGTTTTGGTGCCTTTGCCCGTAACGCCTATTACAAAGGAGGCCAGTGTTCGCCGTGGCGGTGTATCCGTCGAGAATCCGAAACCTCCTGCGAAGAAAATCAAAATCGAGGGCAAGAAAGAAGAGAGTTTTGCCACAACTTAAAGAAGAATTTGGTTTTTTTTTTATATATCTAGATTTAGCGGTTTTATTTATATTTAAATATCATAGCAGACTTTACAATACATTGTGCGACTTTATGTTCGTTTTTTGTTGTGACTGAATCTGGATGTTATTTGGTGTTTTCGTTATTTGTTTTTTTTTGTTTTTTTTATACCTTCCCGAGTGTCATATTTAGATATTGTTCGTTTTTCGTTTTCTATGATCGGTCTGATGTTGTTTGGCAAACGACAAACGCGACGTTTCTGCTTATACACGTGCAAGTGTTTTCGCTAGGTCTGAATATATTCTATACGCAACTAATACATGCATTTTTTATTATACTAATGATATGTGTTAGGTGTTATTGTTTGACGCCAATGTATTCACTTAGAAATATTGTTATAGATTAAGAGTCGCATGTAGGTAACATGTGTTTAGCAAGACGTGGATATTATTATATATGTATTATTATAAAATATTGGATTTCGTTTTATGTCGTATATAACAGTTTCACGTTATTTGTGATATATTTGGTATCTGATTTAGCATGCTGATTTATAATTAGTTAGGGTTATGTGAGCATTCACGAACTCTATATATTTGCACGTTTTATATTATGCTTATATGGTCTACTAACGTAGGTTGATATCCCGGCCGTTTCTCTGAGCAACGTATAAATTGGTAGATCTGTTGTATTGAGATATGTAACATTAACAATTCTAAAATATTAAATATTCGACGGAATTAGAATGTTTCTTTTTAATTTGACATGCGACATACGCATATATAAAAACATATATACGGATAAATACTGTTTGTGTAACAATATGTTAGAGTTAACATTTTAGGTATTGATAGATTTGATCATATCTCCTATTAATATAGTGGTATGTTTGTTATTATCCATAAAAGAAAATATTATTTTCCTTGGTTTTAAGTCGCTCAATATTTTACGTAAAAATATAGGTCTTATTGGGTACCCTAATACCTAGCTTATATATACGTCTATAAATAATACATGCATTCTTGTGTTAATCATTGCGAACGCTCGTGTTGAAAAGATGGAGGTAGTCGTTAGTATTTTTACTTGATGTTGGTCTGATATAGTTTATTGGTTTTGCGTTAAATTGGCTTTCTCTTTCCGAAAATAACAATCATGTTGATTGATTATTAATATGTGAATGTTTTGATCGGACAGGTTAACAAGCAAAACACTAACTCAACCCATATTAGCCAGACGGATGAATGCATCGTAGCTATCCAACAAGCGGCTTCGTGGGTGTTGTCGGTCGATAGATTGCGTGGTTTATTTGTTATGCTGATGGATGTTTTCTGCGAGGCAGATCCGTTGTCGGTCTGGGATGCTACCTGGGATGTATTATTTAAAGATGTGTTGTTTCCACAACAAATTATTTTTAACGATCATGGTAAATGTACACCGTTAGTTTTTGCCAATATTTACAAATATCGTCAGATGGCTAATGTTTTATTATTTTGTTCTAGAGCCGGAGTATGCCTACAATGAAATCCAAAACTTTGAGACATTTATGCGTAAGGAAAACTCTACGTTCAATGTCTATGCGGAATTACGGAAGAGAGTCGCTTTAGCTGGTGGTCTTACATGTGATCCTTCGTTGGAATATAAGATGCGTGATCAGTTTAACAATCTTAAGATAGATTAGATTGTTTGCATCGTTTTGATTTATTTCTGTTTATTTTAGGGTTTTATAAACTATGTTTCTGCTTGGTTCTCTCTATACTATTAGATTTGTTTCGGCAAAATAATAGAATATTTTTTTATAGACGGTGTTTTGAACTATTAACGCTGCAATGAAGATTTTATTTTATTATTCCTGTATTGCGTTCTCTTAACATTTTTTTTTTTATTGACGGTGTGTCTTTATAATTACGCAATGAGTTTTAAGCACCATAAAACGCGATAGTTAAAACACATGGTTTCTTCTTCGTTGACCGTCAAACAACTTATGCTAGATGAAACAACGTCCTATAATGTGAGATGCATGATAGCTGATGTATGTTGAGTAGCTTCTTTAATTTGCTATATGGTTTCTTATGATTTTATACAGATCTCACGGTTATGTTATCTATTCATTTTATCTCCAAGTGATATTTCATTTTATCTCCAAGAGGTTTAACAAGCTATGGAAAATTAAATTTCTGTCATTATAACTTGTATTTATGAGTTGAGATTAATTTAAAAAGTAAAATTCGTTTAAAAAGTAAAATTCGTTGTGCTCGAATCACATATATGATTAATACTATATAACATATCATTAAAATATAATATTTATTTCCGTAGATTTTCATCTTCTCTCAAAGTTATGTATGGGTATTACCAAATGCGTTTGCTGTTAAAGTAAATATTTAATAAAATTCCTTCTTTTTTTTGGATACAATCAGTATAAAAAGTAAAATTTGAGTATATCTAGAAAATATATTGATTAGTAATATATATCGCAATATTAAAATATAATATTTCCAGTTGTTCTATTAAAGAATACCATAGTAGATTATTGTTATATACAATTTTCTGTTGGTTTCCTCTGTGTTCACGATCTTCTAGGTTTTGGAGACAATGAAACGTGGTAGAGGTCAGAAATAAGATCGCAAAGCTTGCATACGTTATATATTTTATATTGTCGTATAACCATAATCATTTTTTATAAAACATTCTTGTCTATCACTCTGATTTGTTTTCATTATGCCCGTCCAAAGGTGATCATCGACGTATACATCACCGTGTTTATAATAACAACTTCGACTATTTACTCGATGTACCCAAGGATGGTGCGAAAAAGGCAAGAAATTATCGTATGGAGAAACTCAGAGCACGAAGGACTGCCTTCCGTAATAGATTATCGGGTTAAGTCTATTATCTTTAAAAAATTTATTAATTTAATTAATAAAAACGCCCACACACGCGTAATTAAGTTGTAGTGACATATTATATTTTCCGTTGTGATTAATAAATATTCATAATTTCTAGGCATGGAGTCGATTAATCGAACACGTGTTATCGCGGCATATGAAAACATGATATCTGATGAATTACGTGCGTTATTGAATTCACGACCTCCTAAGGATGTTTGTTGTCGTGCGAGAGCGCGCCGTGTAGCAATACTTAAATCAAGACGGATAAAAGCGAGGACAAGACCACCAGAAACCGGTACGATAGCCTTTTATATTAAGTTTTTATTCTCGAAATTGTACGTTTGATTAACAAATAAAAAAATGTTATATATAAGGGTTGGTGTTGCCGATTTACGAAGATGATTACGTGCATTTCCTCGCAACCGATTCGGATTCTGATCATGGTGATAGGGAGGACCAAACAGACGACGATAATGCAATGGATTATGATTTTGTTGAACATCTCGATAACGCCGATGAGTGTATTATGGAACAGGAAGGGTTTGGATCCATACCGATCATAAATGTGAAACCTGGATTAAAAGAAAACGGTACTTACTATGGTTGTTTTTTTTATAATTCTTTAAAAAATATAATTGATATTATTGTGTACATGAGTGCTTCTTGTGTCAGGTTATTTTGATGATGGAGATCCGTTTTATACCTGTCAAAATTGCGGTGCTTATATGTGGTTTGGCGAGCGTATTAACAAACGTGGAGCTAAAAATAGGCCTATATTTTCTATGTGTTGCATGAAGGGTAAAGTGGAGCTGCCTAAACTAAAAAATCCTCCACCGGTGCTTATGTCGATGTTGTATGGCAAGGATGAGACAAGCAAAAATTTCCGTGCTTTAATTAGAGCATACAATATGATGTTCTCATTCACGTCGCTTGGTGGTCAAATTGATAATTCCGTGAACCATGGGAATGCACCGTATGTGTTTCGCAGGCATGGTCAAAATTATCATCGCATCGGTGAACTTTTGCCTGGCCCTTCCAAAAGTCCTGCTTTCTCGCAGCTCTATATTCATGATACCGTAAACGAAGTCTCGAATAGGATGGGTGTTATGGGGTGAGTTGTTTATTGTAATATACTTTTTATATTATGTCCACGAATTAATTTCCGTTTTTGGTTGTTTTTAATTGTTTTAGCGAGAAAGGACCGGGTAAGCAAATAAAGAAGAGTACCGTTAAGACTTTGAAGGATATGTTAGATGCTAACAACCCACACGTCATCGCGTTTAGATCAGCTAGAGATAGATTAGCACAATGTGAATATACCAGCGGCTTTAAGTTGATTTTGAAAAATCATCGAGATAGTGACGGTAGAGTCCAAAATATACCTACGACTGACGAGGTTGCTGGGCTTATCGTGGGAGATGTAAACCCTAAACCGCGTGATGTAGTGCTTCAGGCTAATTCTGGAGGGTTTCAGCGTATAAGTGAGCTGCACCCATCCTACCTCCCTCTACAGTATCCTTTGCTTTTTCCTTACGGCGAGGATGGATTTAGGTTAGGTATCGACATTGGATTCATCGATAAAGGCGGTCTAAAAAGAACAAAGGTGACGATGAGAGAATTCTTTGCGTATCGCATTCAATCGAGACGAGGTGAATCTCCTACTATTGTTATGTCCAGGAGATTATATCAGCAGTTCCTGGTTGATGCGTATACGATGATCGAAAGCAACAGGCTTCGTTATTTGTTTTTTAACCAGAAATATCTCCGCTGTGAAAGCTATTCGCAGATTCTTATAGTTTCTAAGAAAGGAAATAAAAATCTTTCCAAAGAAGGTAATAAAATTATGATACCATCTTCTTTCACCGGAGGGCCTAGGTACAAGACGCAGCATTATCTTGATGCGATGGCTACTTGCAAGTATTATGGCTTTCCTGATCTATTTATCACTATAACTTGTAATCCTGTGTGGCCCGAGATTACTAGGTATCTGGAAAAATACAACTTAAAACCCGAGGACAGGCCCGACATCTGTTGTAGGCTTTTTAAGCTGAAACTCGATAATCTCATTCATGATCTTACCCATAATAAGAAGCTGGGAACTGTCTCTTCTGGTAAGATTGACCAAACTTTTATAGCGATATTTGTGTCTCGCATAAATTATGTGTTATTATTAAATATATAGAATTTTAGAATCTTAAATTTTTATCCTCTTATTCTGTAATTTTTTGTATATTTTACAGTTTTATACACGATTGAGTTCCAGAAAAGGGGTCTACCACACGCACATATGGTCCAGTTCCTAGCTCCAGGATCAAAACTTCCAACTACTGATGATATTGATAAACATATTAGTGCCGAAATTCCTGATCCAGAGTTAGAGCCGTTTTTGTATGAAGTTGTAGCAGATATGATGGTGCATGGTCCGTGCGGAGTTGTTAATCCCGGCTGTCCGTGTATGCAAAAAGGCAGATGCACCAAATACTACCCTAGGCCTTACAGTGATCAGACTAAGGTTGATGACGAGGGGTAGCGGATGGCAAATTCATCGTGAAGCAAAAATTTAATGTCGATAATAGGTACATCGTTCCATATAACGCTTATTTATCGAAAAGGTATCGTGCTCATATTAATGTCGAGTGGTGCAATCAATTACGATCTATCAAATATCTCTTCAAGTATATCCACAAAGGACCCGATTATATCAGAGTAAAAATACAAAAGGATGGTCAAGAAGAGGAAGTCCATGACGAAATAAAGCAGTATTACACATGCAGGTGCCAAATGAGACTAATTGTTTATAAAATGTTATGTTATCGTCTTAGACTAAATACTGTTGTTGGGAATTTTGAAATTATTGCCTCATTCTCATTATTTTTTATGTCGTTTCGTTTATAGGTATATATCTGCATGCGAGGCCACTTGGAGAATATTAGCTTTTGCTACACATTATCGGTCTACACCAGTAGAAAAACTTACATTTCATCTTCCTGGTGAAGAGGTTATTGTTTTCAATCCGAATGATCCTGTTGATGAGGTTATAAGTCGTAAATCTATCGGTCGTACAATGTTCTTGGCTTGGATGGAATGTAACAAAGAGTATCCAGAAGCCAGAGAATTGACATATGCGGATTTTCCATCTAAGTTTGTTTGGAAAAGCAGAGAGCGTGTTTGGAAACCCCGAGTAAAAGGATTCTCGATAGGAAGGATTATGTATGTCTCTCCTTCCCTTGGAGCCAAGTATTATCTAAGGCTCCTGTTAAATTCTGTGACAAGTCCTACATCTTACGATGACATCAAAACGATAAATGGCATTATATATCCTGAGTTTGTTGATGCTTGCAATGCACTGGGGTTGCTCGCAGACGACCGAATATTTATAGATGCTATAAAAGAAGCGAGTTATTTCGTGAAAGGTTTACCCTTGCGAAAATTATTTGTGATGATGATCGTCGCCGGAGATATAGTAAATCCTTTGCGGGTTTAGGAGGAGACTTGTGATCTACTGTCGGAAGGTATCTTATTCGAACGTAGAAAAGTGTCGAGGAATCCGGGTAGGTGGATCATCTCTATTGTTTATGAAATATATATAGCTGTCTTATTAATTGAATAGTAATAATAGCATGTTTCGTGTGGTTTGCAGCTTTGACGCTTTCTGATAAACAAATAAAAAATTTCACGTTGGCGTCTATTGAACTCTTGCTGCGGGAAAACGGGAAGACTCTGTCTACTATCGAAGGATTTCCGCAGCCGGATGATATATCTCTTGATACGAGTACAAATCGGCTGTTGTTGGATGAGCTTGGTTATAACCACGAAAAAGAAGCGAAAGAACACGTGAGACTCCTAGCCACGATAACAGATGAACAAAAAATAGTTTACGATGAAGTGATGCAGGCAGTTTTAGATAAAAAAGGCGGTGTCTTTTTTCTATATGGATACGGGGGCACAGGCAAAACGTACGTCTGGAGTATTTTATCGGCTGCTTTAAGGTCTATGGGACTTATTGTTCTTAATGTAGCATCGAGCAGGATAGCCTCTTTGCTGATGCCTGGAGGTAGAACTGCACATTCAAGATTTTCGTTACCTCTAACGGCTGATGAATTTAGTATGTGTGCGATGAAACCATCATCCCATCTCGGTGAGTTGGTAAAACAGGCTAGCTTAATTGTATGGGATGAGGCTCCTATGATGAGCAGACATTGTTTTGAGACGTTGGATCGTAGTATTCGGGATGTTATGAGATGTAATACTGATCGGCCGTTTGGCGGTAAAACAATTGTCTTTGGAGGAGATTTTAGACAAATATTGCCAGTAATCAGTGGTGCAGGTAGAGAGAAAACCGTTTTGGCCACTATTAATTCGTCGTATATCTGGGAAAGTTGCAGACTGTTGAGGCTAACCAAGAACATGAGACTTTTAGATGGTAATTCGGATGATGCTGCACAGGAACTCAGAGATTTTGCAAAATGGATTCTTGACATAGGAGATGGTACAATCAACGATACAGACGATGGCGATGCTGATGTGGAGATTCCTGATGATTTGCTGATTTCTAAATGTGGTGATCCTATCAAAGCCATCGTACATAATGTTTATGGGTCAACGTTGGTCAAGGATAAGGAAGTTTCTTTTTTCCAAGAAAGGGCTATTCTTACTCCGAGAAATAATGACGTGTGCGTGATCAACGACTATGCGCTATCACACATGGAAGGTAGAAAATTAATGTCAAAACTTTTATATATTGATTTAGAATATGTTTAATGTTGTTTATTATTTTAGTTTGATAGTGGATTTAATATTGTTTATTATTTTAATTTTCATTCATGTTGACGCCCCGGGGTTGTTAGGTGAAGAGAGAGTCTATCTTAGTTGCGATAGTATTGAATTATCGGATGCGGACAAAAGAGATAATATGGTTTATACACCCGAGTTTTTAAACAGCATCAAAGTCTCGGGGTTGCCAAATCACAGGCTGGTATTGAAAGTCGGAGTTCCAATCATGGTTCTACGGAATATTGATCCTAAGAATGGACTTTGTAATGGTACAAGATTACAAGTGACTCAGTTAGCGAATCAGGTTATAGAAGCTAGAATTATTACTGGTACGAGAGTTGGAGACATAGTTGTGATTCCTAAAATGTACTTGAGTCCCACCGAGACGAGGTTCCCATTTAGAATGAAACGTTGTCAGTTCCCGATTGCGGTTGCTTTCGCAATGACGATTAATAAAAGTCAAGGTCAGACTTTGACTAATGTAGGTTTGTATCTACCTAAGCCTGTCTTTTCGCACGGGCAATTGTACGTTGCACTTTCGAGAGTCACATCCAGGAGAGGCCTCAAGATACTGATAACAGATGATAGGGGACAGCCTCAAAAGACTACTAAAAATGTTGTTTATCACGAAGTATTCCAGAACATTCGTTAGTTTGATTATAAGATTTTTCTCTCCTTTTACTACCTGTTTTGGGCTTTCAGTTTACGACAATTTTTTTGTTTTAATTTTATTTTCTATAATACATTTTGGGTTTTAAATAAAAGGAAATTCCATCGGATATTGCCATCTTTAAATAAAAATGCTAAGAAAATAAAATGGAAAATGTCACGCAAAATGTTATTAAACAAAAAAAGGGTTGCGACGGTACGTGTCGTGACAAAGGAAGGAAAATCGAACATAAAAACAAAAGGGCTGCGACGTTTCCTTGTCTAGGTTAGTTCCCTATATATACTTAGTTGTTAAACGTTCTTGTGGGCAGACCATTATCTTACTCCGCATAACGAATTTTCGCATAGAAGCAGATATGTCTTCTCGGTTCACATCGTCTTCTATTGAACGTTACAACGATTTCTCTCGGTTGAACCCTGCAATAGTTGGATGGCATGTTCACGTTAAGGTTTTGCGTCGCTTCCACACCGATGACTATATATCAAAGGGTGGGCTAGGGTTACTTCTGGTTGATGATAAGGTATTGGTTCGAAAT